CTTGGTATGACCGCTGAAACACAAAGCTGTACAATTATAGTAATTATATATTTAATCTACATCAGCAACAATCATAACATTTATTTTATAATAGTCTAGAGTTTTAATTAGTTAGGTGTGCAATGTAATTTAATGTAATGTGTTGCTGTGTAATTAATGTAAAAAAAAAATCATGATAACTAATATATATATATATATATATATATTTATTTATTTTTTTTATATTCCATTTATGGTCCATACTCCAGCCCAGTAGGTGGCGGGAATGCACCTATCGTTTGTTTGCCAACCGCCATAAAACTCCAAAAGAAGAAGAAGAAGAATCAGAGGTATTGGAACTCTGGCTGGACTCATCCATGGTGCAAAGAAGTTTGGCCTGAAAAACTAGGAGCACCGACTTTATGTGAAATAAGGGACTGGGGAGTCGAGGAAGGTGATCTTGTCAGCGTCCTTGATCTCCATTAAGATTAGCCAAATGTGGCACTCCACCACCACCAGGTTGGCCATGGACTTTCCAATTGCCTGTGCAGTGGCCTTTGTAGCGTGTAGAGCCAGGTCAGTCACTGTGCGCAGCTCCTTGAAGGCATTGGAACTCTGGCTGGACTCATCCACGGTGCAAAGAAGTTTGGCCTGAAAAACTAGGAGCACCGACTTTATGTGAAATGCTGAGCCAGCCTGGCCAGCTGCTGAATAAGCCCTGCCTGCCAGAGTGGAGGCAGTCCTGCAGGGCTTAGATGGGCGAGCTGCATGGGCCTTCAATCCCAGGGTTGATGGAGGGCAGAGATGTGGAACGACCTTTTTCTTCAGTGCCGTCAACAGTGGTGAGAGTGGCAGAAGTGAAGGAATGAACATGTGCTGAGTAGGGGCTACGCCACATCCTGGTTAGTTCGCCGTGAACCCCTGGGAAGAACGGGGCGGACCGTTGCAGGTACCACTCGTCTAAGTGGCCGTGGGTGGGACCAGTCAAAGCCGAGGTCCTCCACAGCCTTAAAGAGAACGCAGATCAGCTCGCTGTCTAAGCGGGGCCATGTTGGTTGCTTCGGAGGGAGAGTGTCTGGGTCCTCGCCAGAGCACGCCCTCTCTTCAGCATCTGAAGCTGTCAGTGACATGGAGTCATCAGCGACCACTTCCTCCTCAGACCCGCCGAAGGAGATCAAGCCACTCACAGCCAATGAGAGAAAGGGAAAGGGAAACTGACTTTTTTCCTTAGTATTGTGAGTTTATATTTTACAATTCTGACTTTGTAACTTGTAATAATATTGCGCAATTCAGAATTGCAAAAAAACAAAAAAAAACAGAATTATGAAATAAAGTCACAATAACTTTTTTTTATTATTCAGTTGAGGAAATGGGCTTCCATAAGTAGATCATCAAGCAATTCACCTCTAAAAACAGAAACTGTTATGTATTAGTTTGCATATGACAATTTAGCCTGATTTCTCAATGCTTTGAAACATCTGCTGCACCTCTGTGACCAAGATGTAACTGGCAAGTATTCAAAGTATATCAATGTGCTATTGTGAAGGCATGGCATCTCCATTCATTTATGACAGCCTCTGTCATGCAGTCAACATTTCTCTGCCCATCATCCTTTCCCTCTTTCACATCCATCATGTGACCTTGATCCAATGGGAATGTCTGGCTGTGCGCTTTTTACTCCTCCTTGAACAAAATACACCACTAATAATAACTAACTATGATGTTCTTCTAATTGTCTACAGCTAACTGCTTAGGACACCTAAAGGCAGCGCATAGCCCTTTTCTGAGCTGAAAATCAACTAAAAAACCTCGATACAAGAGTTTGCAGGCATCTCTACTGTTCTGGTAGAGTTTAATATTGTACATGTGCTGTGACCATATCTTCTCTAATATTCTAATTTCTTAATCTCTGTCTCTCTCTCTTTGTATCGTACTCTGTTTATGTCTCATTATATAATTTACATGGTGCTTTTCCTTCATTTTAGACAGTACAGAGAGAAAGAGAATCTCCTTCTCCGGAATCATTCCAAATGCTCAGACCCCCACAGGTTCCTCTTGTTTTGATTATTCTATCATGCATATTTTAAGATTCAAATGTTTTAAAGCAAGGCATCACTTTTCCAAATGGTTAGAAAGTGATATTCCAACCACGCATTAATAAATGTAGTAATAAATGCTCATTTTTGAAGGGAAAGGTCTACTAACATTTAATATTTGCTTGCTTGGGGTTCATTACAGTATGTGTAATCTCAAGATCACAAGCAGTGTTGTCAGAACATATAATCCCAGAAGACTTGGTGAACCAATTTTGAGATGAATTACTATGCATGTGGAAAAACCATAAATCTCCATTTCAAGCTCAATGTGGTTGTTTCATGGTTTTTCTATTCCATAAATGTATGTGCATGTGCTGGTAGGCATTCAAACATTTGATTTAAAATTATATCCATTTTAGAATACATCTTGCACTGACAGATGTGTTCAGCTAACAAGCGGAACCCTTTGGAAAAGTGATGCTACGTTTGATAAGCTACATCTGCTTTTTTCTGATGGGGTTAACCTGGACAAAGCACCAGATATTATATATATATATATATATATATACACTGAACCATGAAATTCTACACACTATTCTACACAGTGGTGGAAAGGCCAATGAAGGATCTAATAGATTTCCGGCATTATAGTTTTCCCTGCAGTAACATCTATATCCAAGAGCAACCCCCTTCCAAGCACACTAGTACCAGTAACATAAAACTTACCCTCACTACCTCCATGACTTATCTCAGTCTAGGTATTTGTGTAGCACTTGTTACCTTTGTATGTTTGCATTGCTTTGAACAATTACGCTAATATGTTTGAGATTGGTGCTAGACATGTTTTAGTGAAGCCTAGACTGAGAGCAAGTCTTGACCTTCCCAGACTTGGATGCAAGAAACCTTGTCCCCGCTTCTAGTAAAGTAAACAGGAATGTTGATTCCTGGAGTTGCACTTTTCCCAGCACTTCCCTGTGTTCCCGTTCCATTCCCTCTCACAGCCCTTCCCAACATCTGTCCTCCATTGTTATTGATTATACATTATCACAGATTATGCTGCTTATTTGTGATTTGTTTTTATCATCGACTTAAAATTATTTGCATGATGTGTTTTGTTTATTGCTCATTTTACAATGTTTAATTTTTGTTAACATTGGACTTTTTCGATTATAGATTACAGTATCTAACTACCTTTTCTTTGTCCACCACAGGGTGTTTTCATGTATGTTACAAATCGTCATGAGTTTGGAAGGCTTATTTCGACTGCCAACTATAACACATCTCATTATAACAATGACCTTTGGCAAATATTTGAAAACCCACTGGTGAGTGACTAGATGATTTGTGATTTGTGAATTTTTTTCTGTATACAAAGTGTCTGGTACAATTAAAAAAACATCAGGGTCCAGAAGTGTTCATTTAGTGCTACATTTGTCATCAATAATGAAGTGGAGTGCTGACAAGGTAAACATACGTCTGTGTTGACCTCCATGTAGGTTTTAGTCTGCCTGCCGGATTAATGCAGATCTAATCACTGTTTGCAATGCAGGTCACTCAGTGGGCTAAAGTTCTAATCCTCTTTCTTTTTCACAGGACTGGAGAGAGAAATACATCCATCCCAACTATACCCGAATTTTCACTGACAACGTCTTGGAGCAGGTGAGCAAACATTTACATTTATTCATTTAGCAGATGCTGTTCGGGTAGAGTAGGAAAGATCATTCCCACATGGATGTTTAGTAAAGTTAATATTCAGGATAAGAACGTTAATATTCTAGAAAGCTTCACTCACATACCGACCAGACTTGTGGGATAAGGATACATTTGTGAAAGTGAATGTAGGTAGGAGGGTACAGATGTAGAACCAGTGGTTGTTCTATACTCTTGGTCTGATTGAAGACCAAGTGAACAACCATATATTTGAAAAATTGGCAGACGTTTGATGAGCATTGCATTATTCCAGATTCTAGAGTTGACTGAACAAGGAACTATGCAGATTGCCCAGATGGAACCTGATTTTCTTGATAAAGTACAGTGCAAATCTACATGACCGGGCAGCCTTTGCAATGGTCTGTGAATCTGAACTGGTCATCAAACACTACCTGCAACTTCTTGTTTGATCTGGATGTGGTGTTCTCTGACGGGCCTTGCTGAACGATGTTGCTGAATTGTGGGCTTGCTAGAAGACAAGGAGTTCTGCTTTTGCTAGGTTGAGTTGAGAAGTTGAGATAAGAGTTGATTTACTTTTAACCAGGCCAAGAAGTCTACCAGGCTAGCCGTGATTTGGGAAGCCCAAGGCAAGAAAGAGAAGTAGAACATTATGTTGTTGGCATAGAAGTGGTAGGAAAATCCATGGGTCTATGATAGGTCCAAGCAATGTTGTGCACATCGAGAAAAAGAGGAGGCAAAGTGCTGATCCTTGAGTCACCACTGCGGTTACTTGATGTAACTTGGATACAGTTCCCTTCCATGATACCATAAGCAGGGGTCTCCAACCCTGCTCCTAGAGAGCTACCATCCTGCAGATTTAAGCTCCTCAAACACACCGGAACCAGCTAGTCAAGGTGTTCAGGGTTACTTGATAATTACAGACAGGTGTGTCGGAGCAAGGTTGGAACTGAAATCTGCAGGATGGTAGCTCTCCAGGAGCAGGGTTGGAGATTCCATTCGGTTGGTCTTGTTTGCATCTTTTGAGACTATACATATACAGATCCTCCAGTCAACCAGGACAGTAGATCTCCAGGAGCAGGGTTGGAGATCTCTGCCCTAAAGAATCTACATGGGAGGTAGGATTCAAACCAACAGTTTCCAAGATGTTAAGGTGTTGAGAAGGATTATTGGAGGATCTGTGGATTTACAGTCTCAAAAGATGCAAACTAGACCAACAGAATTAGGACATCATTAACCATCATTAAATATAAGTCCACTTATAATGTTAATCAAGTTAAATGCACCAAAAAGAACTGTAACTTAGTTTTATATCGTAATTTGGACCGTTCTTCATCTTCTCTCTGATCCCTTCATTAGCTGTTTTTGCTGTAGCCTTTAGACTTCTATATGTAATTACTTATGTTATGATTGCAAGAGAAATATGTAAAAGTAATGGGAAGTACAGTTTTCCATGATGTCACCTTTGAAAATAAAAGCATTTGTTCTTTGCATGACACTCCCATCGATGTTTGTATGAGTTAGGATTATTTAGAGTGAACATTTTTTATGCTGGAATAGTCAAACTTGTGCTGGGTGTTAAGGTCAAAAGTTGATCTGATGATACTAAGCACCTGTTTGTTTCTACAGCCATGCCCAGATGTTTTCTGGTTCCCTGTGCTCTCGGAGAAAGCCTGTGATGAGCTGGTGGAGGAGTTGGAAAACTATGGTTCATGGTCTGGTGGAAGACACGAGGTCAGATAAACCCGCCGGCCTTAAAACAGTCTGCACACATTGTACAGGGATCGGCCATGAATAAAAAAAAAACATCTTTAAAAATGTGTAAATACAAAAAAGAAAGAGATTTTGTTTTTCTAAATAGACAAAATTACCTTTTTTCTAGACTTTACACAGTAGCACAATTGCTTATAATATTTAAGGTTTTTATCATTGACTTTTTGCCCAGTCATTGTGTTTTCTCTTTGCAGGACAAGCGTATCAATGGAGGCTATGAGACCGTCCCGACAGATGACATTCATATGAAACAGATCGATTTCGATAAGGAATGGCTGCACTTTATCAGAGAAATCATCTCCCCTGTCACTCTCAAGGTCTTCTCTGGCTATTATACCAAGGTGAGCCAGTCTGTCTGGGTCTGGACCGAGTCATAATTAGCTGTTATATCAGAATGTCTGAGCATGTGTTAGGGAATTTCTCTCTTCTACCTCAACCTCATCTTTTTGTAAGGCATTTTGTCCTTTTAGGGCATTTTAGGGTCATTATAACCATTAAGAACCAAAGAAAGACCCTTTTGTGTTTTGTGAAATTAAACACAGATGGCATGTTCACCTTTTCAACAAATCATTTACCTTCTTTAAATGCTTAAAAAAAAACCTGCCGAGAACTTAAGGACAGGTGCATCCCTACACATGTAAAATATTTTGTGTGAGGATATTTTTTTTTATTATTGTTTAATTATTGAAGAGTAATTTCAGATTTTGCATTTCAGTGTTTGCATTATTAGTGCGTTTTGATCCAGTTTGAAAAATACATAAATCATTTACCTTCTTTAAATGCTTAAAAAAAAAACCTGTCGAGAACTTAAGGACAGGTGCATCCCTACACATGTAAAATATTTTGTGTGAGGATATTTTTTTTTATTATTGTTTAATTATTGAAGATTTAATTTCAGATTTTGCATTTCAGTGTTTGCATTATTAGTGCGTTTTGATCCAGTTTGAAAAATACATAATCATCAGACACTACCATGAATCATAGTAAATGTAAGGTAACTTTCTGTTCATTGGAAAAATTGTTTTAAAACTCCTTTTATTTTCTCTTTGTGGAGTGAAATATGATCCAGACATGGTCTTGATAGGCTTCCTGAAGTTCATCCATTAAGTCATCCATTGATTCGACTCATGGCTTCACACACTTAAATGCAATCACTGAGCTGCTGCTTATTATAAGTAGGGCATTTTCTATAATTTGCACAGTTTAAACTTTTTTTTTTTTTTCTTTTTTTGTCAGCCAATGGTATCTTTTTAGTACATTGCACATCTGCATGATTTCCGAAGGCTTATTACAGCAGCCAACCAAAACACAGCTTGCTAGATGAGATTTGTTTGGTTTTTGGTTGATATGACTTTCCTTCTCATGCTGTTCTTTTAGGAGGGCTCTGTCCACTATTAACTGGATAAGCACTGTTAGTTCTCTGGTTCATTTGACTCATGGAATGTGAACTCTAGTTGGCACCGTGAGTCTGAGTTCTTTGTGGGTCATCCATTAAAGGGATAGTAGACCCAACAAATTAAATATATAGCATTATTTACTCACCCTCATGTCTTTCCAAACCTGTACGCCGTTATGTTTTTAGTGGAACTTTAGAAGAATGTTCACCAAGCTCTCTTCCAACAACAGTTCAAAGTGACCAAGTCTGTTAAATGTACCATATACTCTAAGTAGTCCATACTGTACCATTAGTCTTCCAAGTCACAAGTCTTCCAAAGTTACATAATAGTTTTATGTCAGGAACAAAATAGCCATTTTAACTACGATCTACATAAAGGTTCTTCACCAATTGTTTGTTCCACAGAAGAAATAAGTTGCACAAAACTGTAAGCAAATCTGTCAAACTTTTGAGGTTTGGGTTTTGATTGTCTCCCTTTTTTAATATTTTTTTTCTTTCAGGGCTATGCCATTATGAACTTTGTGGTGAAGTACACTCCAAACAGACAAGCCTATCTAAGACCACATCACGATTCCTCAACATTCACCATTAATATAGCTCTCAACAACAAGGGCTTAGATTTCCAGGCAAGCTGATACACTGGTCTTACGTTTTCTGAAACAGGTTTTAAATACATTGTAGAATCACATGTAGTTAAACTTATGACTCATTTCCTTCTATTTCAGGGTGGAGGTTGTCGATTTCACAGATATAACTGTTCCATAGAGTCTCCTAGAAAAGGTTGGAGCTTCATGCATCCAGGTAGACTCACTCACCTTCATGAAGGACTACCTACGACCAACGGTACACGCTACATAGCGGTGTCCTTCATAGATCCTTAGACTCCCACATAGTTCTAGTAGTTCTACACTAGGAATTTACTAGCCTTGATATGTTTGTGTAGTGTCAGCTGTTTGTCTGTTTTTACTGATTTATTCTTGGTTTATGTGTTGTGTGGCTGTTTGTATTTTCTGTCTTTTGAAACATTTACTACTGTCTAGAGAAAATGCTGTTTAACATAAGTTTAATAAAGTCGACTGATGCATACACACACATACATGCGCACGTGCATTCTGGTAGACTTTCATACATATGAACCTTGTTTCATTACTCAAAATTATATGAGAGATTTGACCATAATTTTGTACTTGGACAAAAAAACAAATCAGGTGAGGTCAGTAACTTTTCATTTAAAGGGGTCATATGATGCGATTTCAATTTTTCCTTTCTAAATGCCTGGAGCTGATACGTGCTGGTCGCTGAGGAAATGATGTGCATTTAAGTCATTCTCATTGAAATAAAATGGACACCACATTTTTCTTATTTTTTTAACATTCCGACAAAATACAGATAGCTTTTTAGTGCCAGTGCAACAAAATTAAGAGCAAATGATGCACATTATTTGTGTAATTGTGCTTTATCGTTACATTTTATTCCCGTGTTACCGCAAAAAATGATGCAAACTTTGTGCAAGCCTGTTACCCTTATAAACCCTATGAAGTATTACTTTCTGTCAAACTTTAGGGCTATTCTTCTTCAACAGCACATTAAATGTCTAAAAACTCAACTGTACCATCAATATGTAGAGTTACACCTTTTTATGACCAATATCAATTTGCTTTCATTGGGATTCTCTAACTGACAAACCCTCAACCCAGTGTGCACTCAGGTGCTCTAAACTCATAAATACCAAAGGAAGTTGGTAAAAAGGAAGGTGAGCTGTAACTGTACAAAAATCTAGATTTCTACAAATCTGAGAGCTGTTAGTGGCAATGAAATAACATATGACTTCAATGGTTCTTCCATGTAGCAGCTGACCATGTTTTTAAAAGACATGAAGGTAATTATATACTGTAAACAAAATAAGTATAATGTTGTATGTTTGCACAACGATAAATGGCAGGATTTAAATTAATGCTAGTTGATTGTTTTGTTTTTTTTTTTGGGGGGGGTTGCTGAAGGTGTTTTTGCTGTAAAATATGAGGTGAATATGCCTTATTTTCTGAACTGAAAATGTCTCAAGAGATGTCAAATGTTTTACTTTCTCTTGTTCCTTACAAATGTCTCAGCCAGGTCAGTCTCTTAACTTATTTTGAAATTTGTTGAAATAATAAAATGTTTTAAAGAGAAAAAGGCTTTTTTTATATTCAGTTGAAATGTGTTGTTCTGTGTGTAAAAATAAAAAAAAAAATTGCAAAAAAATATGATCGAGACAGATCAAAATTGGGAACAGTCCAATAATTTGTTAAATAAACTGTTCAACTTCTAAACACAGTGCAGCTTGAAAAAATTATAAACATTTCCTTTTTACACTTTTACACTTTAGTATGACACTCGGAATGTGAATGTTAATGTAATAAAGAACGTGTGAACAGAACACTAACATGCCCATCACATGCCACTTGTCCCATGCAAGTCTCCTTAGAATCAATCAGCACAGCTTAAGTGTTGAAAGAGTGAACATGTAAACAAGAAGCAGATTGCAGATTGACGCAATCTATGATACACGTCAGTGACACATACTTGAACTCTTCTTTAAGTGAGATTGATGAGATGTTGGAATTTTAGCACAACAATTAAAGGAATGTATGGGGGAGTTGAAACTGTAATTCCTCCTATAAGCTGGATCATTTTAACTGGAATCAGAGATAAGCTTATAAACTTTAAATTAGGACTGCTAAGTCATAATGGTCCAAGTGAGCAAAGCAACAAAACTCACTCTTTTTAATCAACAAATAAAAGTCACATTTTCAGCGGTTTCTGTCTCTCAGATCAGCTTCAACTGTCACTGAAAATAAATAACTGTGGAATTCTTTGTAACTGCAAATCACTGTAAATGTGAACGCACCTTCAGTGCAGACCGCATGAATAAAGTTTGAAAATTGCCATAGCAAAGGAAGGTGGCGGATATGCACTCTGATGCTGAAGTGTGAGATATTTTTCCTTTCCTTCATCTTTCGTCTCTTGGTTGGGGTTTGCTGGGAAGAACTCCCTGACTTGTTCAATGTTTCCGTCTGGGTCTGCGGGTTTGAGAAGCTGCTGAGAAATGCAGCGAAAGAGGGAGACATGTAGGTCAGAGACAGGAGCGCAGCAGCAGGCTACAGAAAGATCCCTTTGTGGCCGCTCTCCCCCCTGCTCACGTACGGCTCTGAAAGATGACATTGATGCAGGGCAGTGGCACAGGAAACACACAAGGCTAATAAACTTACAGGTTTGCTGAGGATAACTTATCAAACAGAGCTGAGAGGGAAAGCTGTAGTCAAGACGATCAGTATGAAACGTGAAAGCGGACAGGAAGTGTGAAATCAGATCAGGCCACTTGGCTAGATTTATTTATTTTTTCTCTGCATGCCCAATCCATTTTAGAGACTATGTAGTCTGGCTAATGAATATTAAAATGACTATAATTAATTTGAGCATAACACAGAGCTTACATAATAAAATGTTGGGAATACATATGCAACTTAATGTAACATAATTAAATTGACTGAAGGTGGTGGTTAGATGACACCATTGTAAAATGTAAAACTTTGTATACATTTTGCCCATTAATTTACACATCAATGGTGTTTTAGAGCCTGAAAATGCAAGCTTTTGAAAATTGGTTTCAAAGTGCAAGTTTTTGAAAACTATACTGTTAGTGTCTCTGTGTGAATTACGAAAATGTACATGTGTATACATCATGCGCATGCATATTACATGTTCAGTCTATAGGAATACATGCGTGCAGGCACGTAGTGTTTCTTTATAAATTGACATCACCAGCTACTGGCCTGGCATGCATAATACAGCGTTTTTTTTGTCATTTAGTCACATTTCATGTGAAAAGGGATTGTTTTGACAGTGTTGACATCAAAGTACCGCGAGAGCTATAGAGAGCAGACGCTCTGCATGCTGTCTAAATGCTCTCGCGGTACTTTGTTGTCATACACCGATTGATCTGTGCAGTGCCGCTTCAAGCCAAACACACCTATAACCTGGACAATTTAGGCAGTTTAGAAATCCCGGCCAGGACATTTCCGGGAAAAAGAGGACGTATGGTCACCCTAGGGTCATCTCTGATAAATTAGATAGCATGCCTGCAAAAAAAAGTCACCGTTTCCTAAAAATCCCTCTAACTGCAGTGGCCACTGACAGGTAATGATTACACAGCGCAGGCCTGACCACATAAGGAACTTGGCCACGCATCTGTTTATGTCTAAGAAGAAATCCAGACACACAAATACCCTTTCCATTTCTCTAATTACACTCACACACATTTATTATGGGGCGGAGCAGAGGTAAATCCGGGTCTCTAGAGTCATCCCTGAGTTGAACCACCCCGTATTCTGAGGCATCAGAGTCTTTTGTTTAACAGTTGGCAGAATGAAAGCCAGTGCCCACAAACCAGTGCCAAACATCCAACACAGCAGACTAACCAAACAGTGTGGGCCTAGAGGCTGGAGTTTAGATATTGAAAATATTCTGCAATTTACAGCACAGCTATTCATACCACTAGAGGGGGGAAAAAACTCTTTATTTTCTACCAAAAAGGCTAGCTAGTTAGTTAGTTAGTTAAGACCACAATGTGAATTTGTACTGGTCTAAACTGACTGGTCTTGTTTAGAACTGTCCTTGAAAACAATATCCAATATAGAAACAAAATAAAACCTTATTTTTCAAGTATTATATTCAGAAATAAAATTAATTTGGTGACCATGATTGGGTTTGGTCTTAGTTAATTTTGTAAAAGTGGATGAGGACATTATGATCTTCCTGGTTTGGAGAGAATGATCAGAGGTCTGAAACTCAGACATGACATCAGGCGTGTGTGAGAGGAGCAATGTAGACATTTCAGACGTTTGAAGAACAGCTCACCATCTAAATGAGACCTGAATTCACTCAGCTCCCCTCTAATGTAATTTGGGATGGTAAGTGTGATTGGAAGGCCTTTGGTGTATCTTCAGTGAAAGAGATGTTTCACCACAACTGGACAGGCAAGGAAAGCTCAGGGGGAATAGATGAATCAGTGAGTCAGTCCCTATTTTGACAAATGGAAAAGTACTAATGGGGAAAATGATGAGTAACAGAAGGTCAGGACAAGATCTCAAGGAGGTGCTGTCCTATTAAAGTAACAGTGAATGTTAATGTGCCTGTACACATGATTGTGTGTGTGCAGTTGCGAATGTGGGATAGATGGTGCTTTTGGTTGTTCAATAAATATTTTGTGTAAGGTAAACCTCAAGACAAAAACAGACTCTTAGGTTCTAGGCATGCTAAGCATTTAGGTTTATGCTGTCTTAAGTCTTACTTATGAGTTTGTAAGTACTAGTTTCCATGTGATGTGTGCTCAAGTGATTTTATTTGAAATAAAACAGTAATTGAGGGGGAAAAAATAGCATTTTAGGTGAATAATTTAGGCTTTATATAAGTATTTTAGCATTCTCATGCTACTTCAGAGCTGGATGGGAGAATTAGTTGGGTCACCGTATAATGAGTAGCATTAGCTGGCAAGTCTTACCACTATTTTTTAACAGTACACAGAATGTGTACAAACTAATTGCGTTGTCAACTTTCACACTTAAAACTTACCCGTTAATTAAAAATCGCAGCTTGCGTATGACATTATTCTTAACTTGACACGACCCCAATTAAAAATGTCTGGGCTCAAAGAAAATTGTGAGGTTACCCACTGGTAAATAACACTCTCGCTTCAAAGAGAAAGGCTTTTTTGAGAGAAACTTGGGTTGTCTCTTAAAATCCTAGAGAACAGCCAGTTGAGTCTGGGAAAAAAAGAGGACGTATGGCCACCCTACAGTTGAGCTGCTTTATATTACAACCTGATTTTTGTAATCATTACTTCAATTTAGTAATCATAATCACACTAGTTTTAAGCATAAATAGTTTAGCGTTTACTGCACTTTATTCTTCTTCTAGTTATTTACTTATAGCAGCTAATTAAACTGAAATCTCGCACATTCAGAGAAAATTGCTAACTTCCGCTAGCTGCTCAATAATAATAATAATAGTAATACTACTACTACTACTAATAATAATAATAATAATAATAATAATATACACACCAGTATAGCCTCAAATTTTGGCAATATTGAGTTGTCTTAAAAGGTAACAGTTTTACTGCGTACAATTTCAGACAGCCTACAGTGCTAAAACAAACCATGTAGGTAGGCTGCTCATTTTTTAAACATAACTTCATACTTCCACGGCT